ACAGACAGAGTAATATCTGACTCATTCTTTTTGACTTTGGTTCCTGCAACCCTCTGTCAAAATGTGGCACTTAAGTCTAATGCAAGATTAGAAACTCATAACCACATAACATGAAATCTAAAATGTGTTCTTTTCCCACTGTAATACTGTAATTCAGGATCTGAGACAAAACATTGCTGTAAGATTAACATGGATTAATATGGCAGCACAAGGTGTTCTTTCATTTGACATGTTTTATATATCCCACAGATTTCAGCAATGATAAGGGAGATACACAATGTTTAAGGCTACAAAACATAAAGGCAGATGGAAGATAAAGTAATTTCTTTCATTACATTTTGATATTGATAATTTCAATATTTCTGATATACAGTACTGTATTTTAGAGGTAGACATGTTTTGTAGTGATAACAGGCATTACTTCGGGTTATATTGAAGCCATAATTTCAGTCATGATTGTATTAGTTTCAAGGCTCACTGCATTCTTAATGCATTAATTTACTGTGTACTGTATGTAAAAATAACACATTAGAAAACTGTACTGAATTAAATGTATATGCTAATATAAATATATTATGTACTGTACAGATACTGTGTTGAGTGCATATGGATTTTATTGCCTATTCAAATAACTGTATTGTGAATTTTGTGCTCTGGAGTAATAGGCCTTTGTGCACATACTGTACAAACAAGTCCACAGGGAACACATTTCCATACAAGATGACCAAGGTGTCCAGCAGAGGGCATGCAGTGTATTTCCAGAGTTTTAAATAGCCTGCATATGTGGCAATATAGTCCATATGAATGATCCATGGAAAAGTGCTCCTTATGATCTGATATCCATGCCGTCAAAATTTCATTGCTCTACTCTGCACAATTATCGTGCAGGATTGTACGAATAAGTAAATTCATGTAATAAATAAGCATATCATGAAGTAGATTAATAAATAGGGATAGTTAACGATATCAGGTGGCATGAATGTGTGTGATTGGAAGCACTGCTGCAGGTCCCACCAAGACTTGATCCTTGCCTTGAAGTCCTGCCTACAGTATGCCCTGTGCCGTTTGCATGCCTGAGCACAAGCTTTTAGCTCACCACGACACTCTAAAGATCATACAGCTCCTGAAATTGGATGGACGGACATTTAAATCTATATACTCCTATGTTTACAGGTGCATAAAATGCCTATATTACTGTTGGCAGTTAACTCACTTCTATAACTCACCTCACTTCTATAACCTTCAGCAATGAGAGTACAGGTATTCCTTCAAAAAGTGCACTGTGGCACCATATCACCAAAACTGGCATCACCTGAAGTGATGCAGGCATCACTCAGAACATTTCTAACTCACAGGCAGCGATTGTACTGCAAGGCGAACACACTCAACTGCATAACCAATGGTATTGTTGTCACCTGGGAAATTCTGGTCACAGCTTTTTACTGACCTATCTTAGACTTTATCTGGCCATGTCAGCATTTTAATGCTAAGTTTGCTCTGCAAACAAGAGCCAAGGCACAGTTTTAAATTTGCTCCATGGGAATGGCTTCTTTGTAAAGTTCCTTAGATACTGAAGTCAGCAAAAGCTAAATATTTAATGGCAAAGTATTAGTCAAAAATAAAATTAGAAAGCACCCACATTATTATCTCCTTGATGTCAGTTTCACAATTCCAACTTAGGTGTGAGAGCCAGAAAAATCAGAGTGTGAATTTTCTACAGTCTTTTGGCAGGAAGATAAAGCTGTGACTTGGTGTCTGATGTCTACAGATATGTGTACAAAGTCTGCTGTCAGTGCCAGGTCAAACTGCTGGAACTGTCTGATTTCTTTGGTTTAGTTAGAGACTCTGTTGAAGTCTGTGTAACATGTACATGGCCATTTCTCAGAGAATTAAAGACCGGGTTCACACTGAGGGGGAAGGAGGGGGACACAGTACAACTAAGTGTTCCCATTTTGAAATGTTTGTTCCTGTCTTTATCGTTGTGTGAAGATGCCACTCTTCTTTGAATAAAAGGCGCAAAACAATAACCTTGACTCCCCTATTCCTCTGTGCCCGCATTAATTTCACTTTTTTACTTGTTTTTTAAAACTTTCATGAGTACTGATTAAATGAACAGTGAACACAATCTAATAATAAATTACAGTCTGTAGCCAGTTCTTAAGGGCTAGAGACGTCAGTGTTTCACAGGTAATTTTCAAAAGCAAGAGATTAAGACCTCAATAAGGGGGTTAATCGATATGATATTAAAACACTGAGTTCACTTTAAGTAATGAGGGATCAGAAAGGCATTAAAAGGCCAAGGATGGCTTTCTAGATCTGGAGCTGCCTGGGTCCATTGGTCTAAAGGTAACTCCACATTAGTATGGGTAAGAAATCTCTCTAAACTGGTGTATCTACTTTCTAGTAGGCCATCTTATTCTTATATCTTATCTTCACAAAACAGACATTTTCGTCTACTACCAAACAGTGATAATTGCTAATTTGGTACATATTATAGTTTTTGTCAGTGATTTCTGTATGTTAGCATGGTGAACAATTCAGTACAAAAAGGAAAACACACGAGTGTATCTGAAACGTCCATACATAAATAATTTTTCTATGGAATAGATCATTTTCAGAATGGTGAAGAAATCACACATCAGTTGTTTTTAAAAAAAAGGATGTCACGTTCTTCATGTGGGAATGAAAGACACTCCAGCATAACAATCCAAAGCATATATTCACATCAACAAAGAAACAGTAATCTGCACAGAAAATAGATGGACGTGACTGGCTCTCTTCATCTCCAGACCTATATTCAATCAGACGTTTGTGTTTCAAGCTCAGAAAGGTAACCAAAGGGTCTGTACCAAAGTACAGTACCTAGAGCAATTCTGCTTGGAGGAATAGTCAAAAATCTCCCTCAGAAGTGCAGGACCTGGATAGCACATTATAGAAACATCAGTGTAATCCCTGCCAGAGGAGGATTTACAATATTAGCTACAGGTTTATGAATAAATGTGACCTTCAGCTTTTCTGGACTTACTTTTTTATGACAAATGTGATTTTGCTCTGTGCAAATTGACATTGACATTTTTTTTCAACAGGACATACTATCCAATTTGTAAATCTTTGTTTTTTCCCACGTAATAGAGGTTATTGATAAACCCTGGATTTCTCTGAAGGCATGTGCTACTGTACATACATTACTCTGCTTAATTTCCTAAAGGTACTAAAAAGTTTTGATGAAACTATAATAACTTAACAAAATCTGTTCTTATTAAAAATGTGAATTCTTTTTTCAATATAAATATGGGTGACTACAAATATTTTTATTAAGTTGTCTAGCTGTTAAAATATATTTTACCATAAAGCAGTCCCTTTTGGCAGTAATTATGTGGGAAAATCTTTTAGCATATTACGAATGCAGGCTTCCTGACCAGTTCACTGAATCAATGTCACCTTTGACAAGCTTACCACTAGGCAGACGTTGAGGAAAGTCATCTAACAATAACTGCTTTCATAGGCCTAAAGGTTTTCTCAAACACCTGACCTAGCACCCAGAGGCAGTATCCTAGAAGAAATAACACCACTGTTTGCTTAGTCAAGGAAAGTCCTGGGTAGAAACAAAGAGTATGTTAGGTTTCAAATTTAATATAACCACCATAAAAAAAATAGGACAAAGGAGTCTATGTGGTTTGGTATTTTAAAAAAATGGTCATTAAAATAGTTGGAAGTGACAACTATTAAAAGGCCTAATACAAACCATTACTGTTTTTAGTTTTATGAAGTCATAATTATTTGATAAGCCTACATATATTTCAGTCCCTTTGATTTTTATATTTTTAGTTTTAGCCCCTCTCTCCAAACAGTTAGATCTATGTCAATCCATGTCAAAGAGAGAAATACTTCTAGCGTATTGTAAGAAGCAGCCTTAGATCTGCTAATTTCAGGAGTTACATTACTGCTGCTAATAATTCTTAGTTGTGAAATGGATTTTTATAGTTCTCATTTAAAAAACAAGACAGTTTAGGCCAGTTTGTATAACAAATAGGGTAATATATTAATGTAGTGGGAGGAAATGATTTAATAATAATAATAATAATAATAATAATAATCTTTATTTTATATAGCACCTTTAAATGTGACTTCTCAAAGTGCTTTACATAAAGAAAAAAGCACACAATGAAAGGAGATAGCAGTATTAAACAATTGCTCTAAGGGTCTGGAATACAGTAGGAAAGCAAAGGGGCAAAGAAACAATTAAACTGAAGCCCATTTAAAGAAAAAGGTTTTGAGCTTTGACTTGAAAGTGCTCAGGGAACGTTTGAGGCATATCAGGAAAAGGCTCTGTCACCCTTAGTATGTAGCCTGGCTTGGCGGACAAACAGGAGAACAAAAGTTACGAGGTGGGGAATAGGACAATAATAAGTCAGACAGGCACTGAGGTGTCAAGCCATGTAGAGCCTTATAGGTGAGCATGAGGACTTGGTAGTCGACTTGAAACCTGATAGGAAGCCAGTGCAAGGGCACCAGGATAGGAGTAATGTGATCACTTGCAGGAGTCTGGCTGCCGGATTCAGGAAGAACTGAAGTTTGTTAACTGTGGATTTAGATACCCTAGCAAGTAGGGCATTACAGTAGTCAATTAGAGAGAAGACTAAAGTGTTGACCAGGTTTAAAGCTACAGTTAGTGACAACATAGGATGGATTTAAAACATAATTTAAGCTGTGTACTTTTGTTTTATTCAAGTACATAGAAAATAATCCTTGCAGGGTATGTCTAAGTACAGTTCTCAGACAGTACTTACAGTACATAAGCGATTTTTGCATTAAGAACTACAGTAACTGCCTGTTTCAAAAACTGACTGAACATTAAACAGTTCTGGTAATAATTTGGCTCAGAAAAGTAAGCTGTTTTTTTTCTTGACAGTATACTTCAAATATTAACTGGTTCAAAATACATCTAATACCAAAAACTGCATCACTAGCACACTTTATTTCAATAAATGAAATAAATCAATCATTTAATTGTTTTATTTTTCATCAAACGGACAATAACTTAATTGAAATTGCTGAAGTTTACAAACAAATCTTTCACTTACAGTAAATGTAAGTGTTGTAATGCACAATGTCTTTTCATGAAAACCATTTCAAATAAGACCTTTAGAGGTTTATTAAGTAAAGAAATCCTAAAATGTGGGATTTTTATGTTTCTACACATTTACTTTTTCCAATTCATTCGCTGTGAAAAGATACAAAAACAAAACCATTCCCTGAACAGCATACAGGTACATACTGTAGTTTGCCCGATTAAAAATGAGATTTCTCAATATCAACACATCATCCATTCTAAAATGTTATCCTTTGCGACCAGAAGTGGAACTAATATTAATAAATCTAAATAAATAAGAACAGAATGATCAGTTAAAAAAATTCTAAAGCACCAGATGAAAGTTACAGTTTAGCTCGTTTTACTTTTTGGAAGAAACCATAACCACCTTTTCATGTTCCATTCTAAGTGACTATATTCCTTCTGGTGAAGTTTTAGTTCAGGAGAAGAGGAGGATTTGCACATCGCAGAAAACAACTTCCCTAATTTTATGTGGGCCATGTCATTTTTTTTGCTTTTCCCACAGTTGTTTTTCACAATTCAATACAGTAAAATGCAAAATTGTTCAAAGGACAAGGGGAATTCAAAAACACTTTCACGGTAAAAAACACAAAGGTGCAAAGGTCAATTCCTGTTCATGGGTCGATAAAGGAGACAGCAATATATCTAGTTCCATTTGTGGTTGGCAGTCCTTCGTGTAGGTGAGTTAGTCTTCCTGGGTGCATGAAACTCCAGCCTTTTCTAGGGGATTCAATAGAGCAGTTGTATCGATGAAACCTACAGCCACCTCCCTGTTGAAATTAAAATTAATATATATTAATAGAAACACCTAGAATCAATATACAGTTTTCCTTTAATCCAAACGTTTAAGTGCTGCAAACCCATAGACTGTTTTAGAGTCATGATCTGGAAATTTATTATACAGGCTTTATATGTGTTGCTTCTCTGTTATCCATAACCAAAAATGGATGAGAGGCACTAAATCCATTTTGCTCACGGACAAGTAATGAGGTGGGGAGCCTAGTCACTTTCCTCATAGGACAAATCTCAGGGAGACATTTAGAGAACAAAACTAACATGTATGTCTTGGGAGGTGGAAGGAAATGGGATCACATGACCATGAGACCAGGTTAACTCTGTATGGACAGGCATCAAAGACCAGACTCAAACCCAGCAGTTTGGAGCTATGAAGGAGCCACACATACTGGTTATTTATTTGCTGCAGAGGAATTACACCACATCAGCTACTGATGAGTTACTCCATTTGAGATTTGCTGGTCTTTCCTCTATGAATTGTCCAAACTGACAAAGCCGTCTGAAAGAATAATCAGCTTGTTCTGGGTGCTTTCCACATTTCAACAGCTACAGCCTGGAGCAGAAAATTAGGAGCTCCATGGTCACACAACTGTAGTTGGTAGAAGGGATTTGCCCCTTCTTGTTAGCCAAGCTAAAGAGGCAGTGGTAAGGCATTGTGGTAAGGGCTCTGGAGTCATACACTAGAAGGAGAACTACTCTTGTTCTGTTGAGCAAATATCAGTAAAAATTCCCAACTTGATAAATGGGTACAGATGTTAATCTACCAGCCAATAATTAATAATAACTTAATTATCCTGCAAGATTGCTCCTAATTGCAACGCTGAAGAAAAGGACTTGTGGGAAGAAAACAGAAGTGCTTACAATTCTACTGCATTACAACATGGTTTCGAATGCAAGATAAGCCACTTAGTCAAATATTTGAAATAAAATTAAACACAAAGAGATTTACAGAAGAAGCTGAATAAAAGTTATTTCAGAAAATGGCATTTAAATTTAAGAATACCAGTCCTTTAATATAAATAAAACAAAGAAACATCCAAAAATAATTAAGTATAAATATATTTTGAAGAAGAAAATGTCATAAAGAAAAGCTGTTAAAGTAATTGCTCAAGAACAATTAGAATTTTTTTGGTTTACTAAATACATATTAACATTGTTAACACTGTGCATTACAGCATCTCACCTGGAAATCTATTCCTTTTCTGTTTAGGGCGATGTTGATGGTGAATGTAGAGGAGTCATGATGTGGTCTTAAAGCTGGCTGCCTGACAGGACTGTATTTAACTACAAAGTTCAGCAAAGCATAGCCCTGAAAGAAAATAAAAATCAGTTACTAACATTGGCATCTTTCAAAATTCATAGTTGGTCTCAATAAATAAACCAGAGCAAGAATACAGAACATAATCTTAGGAGTGCTAGCTTCTAAGTTAGCTATAGTCTTTAACCTTCTGTGGGTCAGACTACAAAAACAAATACAAAATACATATTTGTGTGCATTTACAGCAGTAACTAAACCCTGTATCTTGGCTATACTTCTCCTAAATTAATTTAACAACAACAGAGTTTTGTAAAAACATTACGAATCCTCACTGAAGGAATCAAAATCTTAAGTCCCTTTCTCACCTACTGTACCTTCTGCAAAAGGTCTTATTATAGACCTATAGATCTTTCTAACCAGATTTTGTCTAAGATATGGTGTGAATATTACACATATGAAATTGCAGGAGTCTGGCTGCAACATATGAAATTTGATTTTGGTAGTCTGACCTGTAATATTCCAATCAGGACAAAACAAATGGATGATGGAGCCTGCTAACGGCTTTTACATGCTGAACTGTAACCATCACACCAGCTTGATCACAGAGGCTCTGTAACCATCACGCCTGCTTGATCACAGAGGCTTCCCCCCCTGTACTTACCCCCAGATGTTTATCTGTTTATCATGTTTAGATGTTTGTGAATGTTTACCCAAATGGTAAATGTTTACACTTAACTCCTGATGACAAAGGAAGGTCTCTATTTCCTTGGGTTACATCAAAGACAGGAGGGGGGGAAATGTGTATATATAAGTTCTGTAGGATCATATCCACTTTGAGCTAAGATAGGTACTAGAACTATTGTGGTGCTTATTGTGGTTCCTTGTATGCATACAATAAAGCTTGGCTGGACAAACGAACACTTCAGGCTCGAATTTCCTGGTTTCTACATGGACTTTATGGCAAATATTTAACAGGGAAATCCAGTGAATCCATATGAGAGAATGGTATTTTTTTACAAACTTTCTAGCAATCAAAAGCAAATAACAGGACTGTACAAGAAACGAATTATGAATTACAGCTGTGATATGGGTGGCACTGGCCAGTATCAAAGCTTTAGAGCCAGCAGTAAGACTGGAAAAAGACATGATTTCATGCATTTCTGTTTTGGAAGATATTATGTTATACTGGTCAGACTGTTGCGTATGGCACAACTGCACAGTAAAAATCACCTTTGTGTAATAGCCAGAGAAAACCTTCAGTGTCACAGGAGAAATATACTCTCGAATGAAATGCAGCCATTCCTTTTCAAAATCAACTTGTGACATGTGAATATCATCGGTTGGGACATTTTCATAACCACCAGAAATACGCTTGTCCTAAAAATAAAAATGAACCAAAGTATGAGGCACGGAACTGCAATAAACATTTTACAATAGCAGGCATGTTTAAAAGAAGAGAGAAACACATTTATTAAATAAACTGAATTATTTGGTATTGAGCATGAAGGAAGATTCTCTTCAGATATACTAATGCTTTTTCAGCACATTTTCCTTTTTATAAAGTCAGAAGAAGCCATGGGTGTCTTTGCCTGACTTACTGTAAGAGCATGTATTGTTTTTTCAAATGTCACTGGCTCAATTAGTAACAAGCAAGAAAATATATTCTGGGTAAATGTTCCATTATAACCCTTTACTTTTTAGATTAATTATTTCTTTAAATATGTTGTAATACATTCACAATAGTAATTATACTTACCTTATGCCTTCCACCTGACCATATCCCATAGTGTTCCATTTCTTCTACTAATTCATCACAGGCTTTATCAGAAAATACAGGAAACCAGAAAACATCTGGACAAGGCTAAATTACATTAAAAACAATGAAGGATTAGAAGAACAAAACAAAAGACATACTAGTCATAATGATTTCTAACTTGCTAAGAAAGAATTTTCTGGATGCTTTGGACTCTGTCCTCTCTAGGTGGTTGCAAAATTTAGCATACATTACATACTGTCACTGACTGTACAGTATACTGGTTTACAGTAGGGTGTGTATGCTCTATACTAGCTAAGGGCAGGTGAAGTCAGAGGAGCTGAACTCTTGAAGTATTAATTAATTGAGTAGTGTAGCCGCCTCGTTAGCACCCCCTTCAAAGGCTAATATGTTCAGATGTGCCTGAGTCCATCCTGGAATAAAGTTAAGTCTATGTACAGTATATAGCCTGAGTATATTTGGGGTGGAAGTTTATCTCCACATCCAGGGAATTAGTTTGTTTTAATGGATTGATAGACAAAGTGAGACAGGGCCCTAATTAAAAGATAGGTGTGGTCGATTCTTGTTTAGGTTTCTCTTACAAAAGCCACCTTTTCTTAAGGGACCATCTCAATATTGTGTACTGCATACAAAAGCTGCTCCATCCCAGCATCGTGAGGCTCTTGGGTGATCTATTCAAAATTATTGGTGTTAATGTTACGTATGTAAATGTAAAAGAGTCTGCTACATCACAATGAGCGGGAGAATTCTAAAGTATGCACTGTAAATAACAGAAGCTGTGGATGAGTCATAAAAGTGTACAACGTATTAAAAAAAACTTTCAACAGTGGCGACATTCATAGAATTCTTCACTGGAATACCAACCTGTTCTGTGAGGTTCTCTGTGAATATTTTGCTATAGTTTGGATGAATGTATTTTTCTTTCCAGTCCTGTAACAAAATGAATGTTAGTATAAAGTTTGCAGTTTGCTGGCCAGGAATATAAAAATAAGAACAGATCAGGAGCTTCCTATTCTTGTTGCAAAGACCTACAGTAAGACTGACACTCTTCTGTGCATATTTGAAATAAGAGACATACAGTATTTATATATACCATATAAGGGGATATTAAGATTTTGTATGCTTTATTAGGACTTATCAGATGATTCATGCAACATCTGTACCACTAACATTCTGTCTCATGTTATTTAACTTCCTTGAAATCCTGTTTCTGGTTGAGAAGTAAAATGAATGTCTAAATGTGAACTAACAGGCAGCAGCAGTTACATACAGTATATTTAGCCCTGAGGGATCTGTTCAGATAAGGCACTTCCATTAGCTGGGCATCTGGGCAACTTTTACTGGCATGGTGGGATTTTACTTACCACTGGGTTTTCAAATATTTGCCACAAGTCATTGTTATAATGAGATGTGTTGTAATTAGCTGTTGAAATAAGTCTTCCAAACTCATGTCGGTTTGTAATGTACATGAAAACTCCCTATGGTAAATAAAAAAAAAGATGTTAAGTTTCTGCATAAAGAAAAGCACAAACAGGAAACTGTTAAAAATAAAAATGCAGAAATGTTTATATTCCTGAAAACAGAAGGTCATATATAAGAAAATATTCTCGTGGGAATTTGTCATCATACATTTTATTTTTAATTACATACTGTAAACACAACAGCAAAAATGTTAATACAAAAAATTTGCTTATTGACAAAAGCAAAAATATAAAATGCTGGAATTAACTGAAATTAAAATAAAAATGTTTATACCATACCTGGAACGAAGATGGAAAAATATAAATAGCAACAGATACAAGTAAATATTCATGGAATATTTATTGAGCACACAGGTAATGGAGTAATATGAGCAGGGAACAGAGGGGGAGATGCTAAGGAAAAGTTTGCTCCAAGAATTTGATAACCTTGGGCTGTGCAGTAGAGTTTGTATGTGTGTATTTTCAGTCTAGGCTTTAGAGCAAAATTAAAATTGGCATTACAGAAAACCCACAGAAGGTGTATACCCATTTAGATTTTTAATAGATACTAATAGAAGTAATTTTGAGTCATTTTTAAATTTATCAGTTGCTTGTCTTTAAGAAATGTATTGGCTGTGGTTCAATTTATGGAGTAATTTTTAGATCAGATCCGCGAGTCAGTGTTATGCTCTGGCCTAGGCTGGAAATGGTAAGGGAGTTTGGAATTAGATTGTTAAACATGTGCTGTGGATTTTTGCTTATAAACAAGCATCAGAGAGCTATAGCAGGGAATGGAGGGAGGGAGTTGTTCTGCTTTGGACTTTGGCTGGCTTTAAATCTGTCTGCTTAGTTGTAAAATACAATTATGACTTCAGAAACTAATCATGTAAAGACAATACTTCGTTTTTGATGCAGATGTTTGGTTTGCATTGGACAAGTCATGAAAATGCTAACTGAAGTTTCTTACACAAATGCCTACAAGTTAAAAAATGTGCTTCTTTAATAAATATGTTTTTAAACTATAAAATTATACATGATTATGCATGTATGAGTAACATATAAATACAGTAATAATACTGTCAATTTATCATATTGATATAAAAGCAATAAATGAATGAATGAATGTTTTTCTTATTCATAATGTAATTAAAAAGAAAGCCCACATGAAATCACTGAGCTTTTGAAAGAGCACCCTTTCTTCCCCTTTGGGTGGTCAAGTATTAAACATTATCAGGGGTTCCAGTAACTTCCAAACAGTACATTTGTCAACAAATATTAAACCTTACAATTGGCCTTTTTACCAGTGTTGCAGCACCAAGAACTGGTAGTTTCCTTTCTCTTCTTTTCAGCATGTAATATACCCCTTACCTGTTCCTAATTATGTACTATACTTTTAAAATCATTACTATAAAATTGTAGCAGAAAAAAATAGGGAAACACACTTTACAACTGATCTTGTAACCTTTTTATCAGTCTGTCTGCACTTAATTGGCAAGGTGTTATTTTACATTTAAATGTTTGAGAAACAGCTTGCTTGCGAATCTCATTTATTTAACTTCATTTTTAAATGAATGCTATAATAAATGCTATTATTTTTTTAATAATATATTTTAAAAAACTAAGGCTTTACACTTTATTATGCTAAATATTCCTGTGGAGTTTCCATAGCTTATAATTAAATTGTTAATTAGCTGTACATGTAATTAGCATTCTCAAGAAAAGTAGATGAGGAGTCACCAGGAGAAAGAAACAAAAAAATTAAATCAAAATACTGACTGGTAATATAAAGGCCTCTAAATATGTTATCCCTAATAATGGATAATGGTTTCTTGCAGAACGGAAGCAGTCCTATATTGTACCATCATACTTTTACGGCAAAATGAGAAGACAAAGTAAAACAAAATTAAACCTTTGGGGGTCTGAGCATATGGAATGTTTCCGGAGAAGGGGAGTCTTTTTCCCTTTGTATTGTCTAAAATGAAGGAGAAGCACCACATAAGTTGTGTGACAATTATATATTTATAGAAATATATATGTAGAGAGACACATAGATACATACTGTATATGTGACATACACCTTGGAAGGAAAGAAGATAGGACTCCGTAAGAAAAGAAGATATGCCAAAAACAGCAGGACTCTCTTAAAGCTGATGTTTTGGAATGTCTTTCTTTTACATGGAGCATGCTGGTAGATTGCATAGCTAGCAAGTACATGGGGGCCCAAAAAGAAAACAGAGACAGACTGATGGCCAGACCCTTCGGATCAGCTTTTGTGACATTTGAAAAGCACAAAGCACACCAGGAGTCACCAATGCCAGGTCACGAGTGAGAAGGAACAGAGAGAATAATATGCAGGCAGCCATTGGCTTAACATGAGCACATGGCGAGTAGAGAGGCAAAAGATTGGTGATGATGGGAGATGACTGGAGCAGCAATCCCTTAATGCACCACAAAGAATACCATAAATAGACAGAAGTCATGCCTAGAAAACAGTCAGCACATCTGTGCTGTATATACTTGCCAGCTTTTCTCTTTTTTCGTCCTTTGAGCTGGAGGTTGATTTCATATTGAGAAACATTGCATTGGCACATTGACAGTTAATTAAAACCTTCCTATTGTGCTACTACTCATTCACGAGACATGAAAATATGTCTTCTAATCATGAACTCAGATAAAGAAGAACCTTTCATATTACATTTGTTTATGGAACAAATGTTAAATAGTATAATTTACTATTTATGTATACAATGACACTTGTATGGGACAAGGCCAGTCCCTCAATCTGTTTACCAGTTCATAATGGACTGAATAAGTTATGTAGTAAAATAGTAATAAAAATAGTCAAAAACATTTATGAACTATCACTTTATAGAAAAGTGAAAATATTATGACAGAGCACATGCTGAATAGTCTTACCAGCTCCCTAGCATTTCTGCACAATGCCATATCAGGGTCCAGTTTTTCTAAGACAAAATAGTTTTTCTCCTTTAATTCATTTCTCAGAGTCTCTCCCTTTATTAAGTAGACATGAGCCATGTATGGAACATTCCATACACCACTAAAGAAAAAAAGAACAGTAGTTAAAACCCACATTTTTCAGTTTTCAACATAATGCTTCCTATTCATTACATCAAGTACAGTATGTCTCAAGCCAGCAAGAAACCAATCTGAACCAATCTTATTTGTAATAAGCACAATGTAATGCTGAGACGCCTTGACTGACATGGAAGTTACATAGAAATGTCCTACAGTGTACTGCTGTTTTTTTCTGGGCTTAAGTTGATGGATAAATAAATGTCAGGCTTTGCTGAGTGATTGCTATGTGCACATCTTTATTTCTTAGTTTGAGAGTGCACACTAGTCCACACTTATATTTAAGAATTTATATTTTATATTTAACACTTATATTTAACACACTGTTAAAGGCACTAGTGTGCATTGCCTCAAGCCAGTTTTCCTCTTCTTTTAACATATCACTGTGACATTAGTCAATTATCCAGTACAGGATACATGCATTCTGTGAGGCAGTTAGGAAAACAAAACTTACACCCTCTTCCCCTGGACAATGTCAATATAGTCTTCAGAGCGTGCATAATAACCATCCAGACTTAAGGCACCCCAGAAATTTGACCACAGTTTTCCATGTCGGGTCACAAGAGGGCCAATTATTTTTCTAAAGAAAAAAGCGCAGGTGAGAAGATCTGTAACACAAGTCATTTTCATAATAAGTGCAAATGTCTCACTAACAACCAATGATTGATTTAAACTGAGTAGGGTACTAATGGCCAAAAAGACACATTGCACTCAATAGCAGACAAAAATCACAGCATCAACCTCATTTATACTTCAGATAGCGTGAAGATGCATCTCTGGATCAGAATTGCGTCCACCCCAAAGTGCAAATTAGAACTGACATTTCAAGAATATTTTGGGAGATTCGAAAAGCGCATCCAAGAACGTGGGTGATGCAATTCTTTTTATTCACCACTGTACCTCCCCTGCTTTGTTTCAAACCCGCAGGCTGTTTTGAAGAAGTTGGCTCTCGTGAGCACACCATATTATTGAAAATGCATTATAAAAATTACAGCATTCATCTGGAGAAAAAACAATAAAATGTGCAATGTTAAGGTTAAAATTGAAACTATTCTCCAGCTTGTGGGTCTGGACAATTCTGAACATTTCTTTAAATATCACATAAGGGTTTCTTGAAAGTGCAGAAGTGCTGAATATCACTGTGCAAGCTACACACCACAAAGACATGCTTTTGATGCAAAAGAATAGAAAGTGTGCGTGCTTGTCTTAATGCTATGTGCCATTTACAGTTGGGGACAGTATAGCTTAAGAGGTTTTCCACATGTTGAGGTACATAGGATGCCACGTTTATTATTTTAAACTGGAAGGGATTTTCATTTGGTCAACTGTAATATACTTGTGGTTTCAGCACTACAGAATACCAAGCTTCTACAGATGTAGGAGAACTGCTAAACCAAATTACCAGCAGAGATGTTATGCTGTTTTATGGGATGCTACATACCGGTTTTGCTCAATTAGGAGTTTCAAAGTCTGGGGATTTGTCAACACAACATCTGCATCAATGCTGAAATAATAGTCACAGCTCTTGTCACTACGACACAACTCCCTAAAAGATGAAGAACACAGAATTTAAAAATAGTTTCATTTCAATCATTCACAGGAGATCACATCACCACTGATCAACATAACTGTCTGCTGCTAGGAAATAATACTGATTTCTAAATTTTGAGGAATCGGCTACTAGATTTGTAGTGCTTTTTTACATTGTACATTATAATACAGTATACATTGAGTCACTTATATACTGTAGTGAAATTTTCCTATTCAACATGAAGGACTATACTGTATATAACGTGTAACGCAAAATTGTGCTTTTTTTAATGTCCTCCTATTTTTTAGTTAAAACCAAATTAACAAAGGGAACACACACATGCACACTCAGACAAATGATATAGAATGGGACATGACTTTAAAAATAATAAAATAATGTTCTGTGAAAAAATAAATATAAAAGACCATTATTATTCAGTATTTATACTGTATAAGTGTTGAATGGGCTAACAAGTGTTTATCTTATTTTAAAAGAAAGAACTTTTCAAAAGTTCAAAAGAAAATGTAATCAGATTTTCTATTCTATTTCTATGTGGAAGTAATAAAGTCCTTGCTAGTTGGGCCACAAGTTTGCTATATTAATGCCAACCATTGCTTACTAGATATATCCCACAATGTATTGTAGCTCTAGGGAGCCAATTTAAAATGAAACAGAGATATAATCTTTTGCCTGTTATAGGAATTATTAAGTCTCTGAAGCACAAAACATTTCCTGGGCTGAATGTATAAATATGTTTCAAGGATATAGCTTTTTCAATGGTATATTTTTATTTGCAATTCACAAACTAGTTTTGTAAACTGAAAAGAATATCTATAATGAAGTACAAACACAAAACGGGGCACGTGGAAATATGTATTATTTAATGCTAATGTTCTTCCCTCTCAAGAGTCTTGTTTCACGTGGTCCAGTTTGATTTAAAAATCTTTCTTAAGGGAAAATGTACTTCTATTTGAACAGAGGGAGTTTTTTTATATACAGTAACATCATCTTTAAATTTCAGTAAATAAACACAAGAAAGAAAATTAAAACATAAAGGAAACTCGGGACATTGAATTACATTTTAATGAGAACCTTCAACCTCTGGTGGCTTAATAATCTTAATATTTTGTGGAAAAACAGATTTAACATTATTATTACTGCTCTGCACCATTCCTGTGATTCATTTTTCAATTGCCGAGTTTGAGGCGCCACAGATATAATAGTCATCCTTAAGATGAAAGGATCTTTTTTCTAGAAATCCTGGATTATATGGAATGACAGTATGCATTTATCTAAAGCAGTCTGTTCAGCTATCATGGTACACTGAAGGAGATAATAAGGACAACAGTCAGTTTTAGAAAACCATTGAAAAGGATCATCACTAGGAATAAATTGCAGCTGACCTAAATGGCATCAAATTTCAACTTCATTTGGTTTCATTACACGTGGCAATTGAGGCTAGTTATTCCAGGTTTTGCTCAATAAATCATGATCAGAGTGACTCCTTTTTTTTGCAAAATTATATGTATAAGAGCACATACATTCCCATGTTCCTTGCTTCCCCTTGGCTAAGGTTCTCCTCTGGTCCCACAACTTTAAAGCTCTTAAGGGCATTCTTGTTTTGTTCCCAAAACCTCTGGATGTGCTTTTCATGGTAAACTTCCTGTATGAGAGAGAAGAGTCTCTGTGAACCAATGCTTCACGGAACAGATGGTTCATTCTTGATGAACTGCTACTTGCGTTATGTTGAGGACTTACATTGTTATGAATAAAAATGCTTAGTTTATCTTTCGGGTAATCCAAGGTCAAAAGCCGGTCGAGAAATTCAGGCATGAAGGGAGTTGATTGCTCAATAAATACACCAAGTGTGACACGTGGATATTCCTGAATTCAAAAACAAAATCAATAAAATAAAAAATCTCGGGTCAGTAATATAACACTTCGGCCTATCAAGGTCATCAGTCTATACACAGTTTGTAATGTACCAATGAATGCATTTTGTGTAAGTTTAAATACTCTCTTGCAATGCTTTCCAAACTGCAGTTTGATAGAGTGTTGTGGATGTAAGTTTATTTTGGTAAATTTACTCTAGCTTTTTCAATTTCACCATGGCTCCCAATATTTGTGCCATGGTTATCTAAAGTTTTAACATGCTTTCATTATGCTTTGTTACACTGGTCCATAGGAAAAACATGCTGTACCACAGTAAGAATGGCTTAGAAACATTTAACAGAGTACTGTATATATCAGTATTCCTATAATCCAGTGCTTGGTGTCTATAGCCCTATACTTTGTTAGATATGTAGCTAACAAACCACATTCTCACAGAGCACTGTCAAAGTCCATTTGGAGTGAAGAAAAAGAATGTTCCATCCCATGACCACCACTACAACTATGGTGGACGATGTTGGTCAGGACTGAAAGTTTCTTGTGCAGCAAGCCTAATTTGAGAACTTCATGTGTACCCTGTTTTCTTGGTATGGAACCAGAATAAGGATTTCCTTTCCAAAAATGCCTTAATTGTTACTGACAGGAAAAATATGCCAGGGAGGATCTTAGCTATGCTATTGATGGTCTTACGCCTACTCCTTCAGTTCAGAAACAATTCTCCCTGATGACATTTCCTTCTTTCCCTATCCAGATGTGGAAACCACATAATGCATATAGCAACAGAAGGCAATGACCCATGTTTACCCTCTGTCTTGGAGAAAGTAAGTAGTCTGTCTCACAAAACCTGCTATTACAGCTCTTTGAATTGGTTCTTTTTTCTAGGAGCCAAAGGTGAGTCATTCTAATCTATTAAGTATTCAGTCTCCTTGAGTTCATAAGGGTTTTTATGACTTTTTAAATTGCAATATGAAAAACAATCAGCGATGGCGATTCCTACTACCAAATACTCTTGATTAGGTAAATAATAATTTAAGACACACAATGAAAAACAGTTTATAACCCAAAGCCCCAGGTCTATTTGCACTAAAAAAATAAAAAATAAAACAGTGATGAAAAAAGTCCTACTTTACATTTTATAAGAACTTCAAAAGTGTCATTTACAATTAATTACATTTCTCTTTCTCAGAACCTACTCTAAAACCAGAAAGATACTGAATAAAATATGTACAATTTTCACTATTCAATTCTGACTTAATAATATTATATTTCAATTAAAAAGGTCTATAAACTCAAACCCTTTATTGCAATAATGATAAAAATATTTTGTCTAAATATACATATTTTATGAGGTATAATTTATAAAACAAACAGCACTTCAGGTCTATTGAATTTAATCAAAGAGTTTAAATATCTAAACAAAATGTCAGAAACTATGACAGAAAGTAAGATAAAAGGATCATCATACACTTTAATGAATTACTACACAATGTCCAAATGAAAACATGGCACAGTTAATATCCCCTGAGTGTTAATACAGTCCTGACAGTGTTGACACGTTTCATTCTGCGTCTGGATTGACTGAGGTGAGTTGCTAACTGGTGAAGGCTGACCAGTCATAGTTGTCTCCTGTTCATAGCACTAGTGAGTCTACAGATGTCCCACAGACATTTTATTAGACTCAGGTAAAGAGGAAAAGCTGGCCACAATGTGATTGTAACAAGATTGTTTTGTTGAAGTTGCCCCACTGCAATTCTAGTGTGTGTGGTCTTGCAATGTTCTATTGAAAAATTAACACTTCCAGACTAGATTACAGGAACAGAAAAGTTATTGGTTAAAGAATTTGGCCAATCTAGTGCTGAGAAGTAATCAAAGGTGTTCTTGTTTTACAGAAGATTCCTCCCCATACTATCATGTTTCCATATCCCCTACAGTTGACTTGAATATTCCCCTAAAACACGTCTTCCACTAGTGGAATAAAAAGCTCCACCATTCAATCCACTGCCACCTAAGATTTTCTCTAACCCAAGTAAAACAGTGATTTCATCTCTCAGCTGTTAACATTATTCCTTAATGGCCTCCAAGAATGCAGATTATGTTCTTGCAGATGGCAAACTGCAGTTAATCTCCTGATGCGTGGGTTGTTTCTTCCAGGAATTTCTTGTGCTGCAGCCAGTGCTGTCTGTCAGTGCAGGCACATGTGTGGGTATTAGGGCCTTCCAGGAAGTGACCTGTCCCTCACAGAGCTGGTTTACTGGTGTCTCTGGACTATCTGTCCCTCACAGAGCTGTTTTTGTGGTGGCTCTGGACTACCTACCCTCACAGAGCTGATTTCCTGGTGTCTCTGGACTACCTCTCCCTCACAGAGCTGCTTTCCTGGTTTCTGGAGTAGTCTGCCAATCATTAAAGCAGAACATCTTATTCTTCCAGCAGCTTCTCTCACAAACAGGCAGCCTTCATCTACCAAGGTATCAACCATGTGATGTTCTTCAGATGGGGTAAGGTGAAATCTTTTGCTATTCTTGCATTAATTAAAATAATATTTTTGTGAATGGCTATTTACGCATATTTTTAACTAACTGTGGCAATTACAACTGAGCTCAAACACCAAATAAGAACTTGGGATTTTTTAGTTTTCAGGTGATTTGAGCTCAGTATTGTGTTCTCGTAAGGTGATATACTACTAAAACAATAAAGAAACCTATCTGCTTGATTTTTAAAACATATATACTATTATGTACGTGTCCAATGGGCTGCTGATGTAAAATGTAAATTGGTGCATGTGCATTAGTGCACATCTTTAATAGAATAATACTGCTTGGGTACATTTCTCAGGGCAACGTAGGAGGTTCATACTTCTGGATGACATGTAAAAGCTCTACATATTCTCCCTGACACTTTGCCATAGATAACAGGCTAAAGTTTCCAAACATTCAGTTTACACTGTGATCGTCTTGAAACATCTAACTCATGTGGTTTTCTTTTACCCAGCACAAGCAAAAGGAAAAATAAAAGTAGTGTTCACAGATCTTCTGGGACTAACGTGAAAAGCTCTATCAGTAGCCAGCCTTGGCTGAACTAACTAACAAATTTTCAGGGCAACCACTGTAAGTCACTCAGTGGATTAAACCACACTGAGAAGCCCACTAAAAAGCAACATGGTCGATAGTGACACCCCTTTAAGTGAAACTTTCTAAAAACCAAAACCCATTTCCTGTACCACAGAAGTGTAGCACTTCCTCTCCATAGAAAACTCAGGCATTTATATGTTTTTAATGACGGTCTATGCATATGAACTAGAGCATGATATTTGTTATTGTTGGAAACAACTTATATAAAACTGGAGAACTGCCTTATCACAACTCTAGAATGGAAATTCAAGTTCAGACTTGTATTTCACAAATCAGCACTGTGATGACTTTGGAGTGCGAGTGAAAATGAATGACAAAAAATAATTAAATTACACGCATCTTTTCAAACTGCTATTGATTACTGACCATTCCATGTAAATTTGACTTACCTTAACTTTGGACAAGTCAAAAAGGTCATTATCACAAATACCACAGCCAGTTTCATAATTCCAAATATTAGGTATGTAATTTGCTAAATAATTCAGGTAAATCTGTAAAAAAAAAAAACATGAAAAAAACATGAATATCAGTGTATGAATCAAAATATTAAATAGAAAATTAAAAGATTTTAACTTTAACATTTTAAGCTTTCTTGTTAATTTATATAAACATTCTAGTTTTGCTTAAGATTCTACTCAATTAATGTTTGTAAAATATATGGTATTACCATAAGTTTAAATAAAACTGAAACTACAGCATAATCAAACTATCCTGTTTAAGAACAGTCTGTATTTAATGTACAATATCACATTACCAGAACTTCAGATTATGAGTTTCAACAGATTTAATTACTCTATGCACAACAGAAGAAAGATACCGCAAATGTTTTAGCATTTGGCATTATTAGGTATTTAATCGTCTAGAGTATTCTTTATATAACTGCAAGATGATTTGAACGTTTGAAATATAAAATTAGCATACTAATGTAAAGCTTTCAGTGTATACACTTCTAAATAGAATGCAGGACATTGCAGTTCAGAAAAGACCCTGTTTTTGTTAATGACAAGCAACATTGATCCTCAAAACACATGCCTCAAATCTCTTTAAAGACACCCCATAGATAAGTTAAAGGTAAGGAGACTATTTGAGATTAACTTTAGTTAGGCCTTTTTAAATTCTCTCTTATTTGCTGGTAAAAACCACACTGTCAGTGCTTTATTTTTTATACAACACTTCATTCCTAAATGAACGGCATAAACGGGCAATATACTGTAAAGTAATAAACTCAAGATGAAACATAAGTTCCATAAGTGTCTTTACTGACTAGGTGGTACGTCTGTTGATTGCTGCTTCCCACAAGCACTAGAAGAATATTATAGAAAGATGTTTCAATTTTGTCTAGCCAGAGCACTCCTTAATGACATTCCTTATGACACTTTAGAGCAGTTCAAAGACATTTCTTTGGAGGATGTGTGCCATACACATGGTGATAACACAGGGAAATAAAAAGTTAAATGGAGATTTCTTTTGTTGAGAAGCATGTGTGCTAGCTTAATGAGGTTCAGCCTGCACCTTTGAAACTTACAAAAACCTAATTACTCATTAAAAACAGCATGATGAAGGCTGCAAATCAGAAGAGATCAACTGACAACGGAGTGTTTGCTTAATCCCTCAGGGTTACTTTCAACACAGTTTGAATCAGAAACAATCTATTCCAAAAGGATCACATTGCATCAGTTTCAGTTCTGCATGACAATATCTGGTGCACACTGTGTTGGCTTCACAGATTCTATCTACAACTATCTCAAAGACTGCCATTCCAAAGAACACTGTATCAATCACTCAATCATAAGTACAAAGACAACAAACGTTATGCAAAAAATGTCTCCAATTCTGTATCCTGAATTGACCCTTTTCCATTCCTAACATCGTTCCCTACATTTTGACGTTATATTCTTTTTTCCACAATACCTCATAATTTTATCAGAATGACAATATCAAGGAAAATCCAATTTCCCCCAGTGTTTCATTCAATCTAGCTTTAACTTGTCTTCGAGTATACAAATTTAAGGCAGATTCCCCCAGTGACTGTAATGAAAAACATAGCCTTTAATTTAATTTGACACCCTGGAACTTCCCATTAAGCAGAACTGCAACAGAAACGCCCAGCTGTAGAAAGGATCATTTAGCATTTTTGGTTTGATTTGTGTCTTATATGAACGAAGATGTGACTCACTTTAGTGTTTCCATTGCCATGAATTGCTATTGGCAGAGTGTCATAGACTGTGTTTCGTGCTCTCACTCTTTCTGTTCCAAACTTCAGTAAAACTTCATCTGAAGAGGAAAAGAACAGATAAGGAATACTTAAGATAACACTGGTCTGTGCTTTCTGGAGGCTCCTGGTTTCAGGCCTGTCCTGTCTCATCCCCCACTTAATAAACACACATATATACACCAGGGGTACAGTTAAAGTTTTATCATGTGAATTTCCATGAAGTTTACTTAAGGCTTCCTGACTTACTTCTTATGTGCCCTTCTAAAACAATAAACAATAATTACCATTTCTCACACTTTGACGTTTCTACCACTTCTCCCAATGGAAGTGTTTTTTAAAGGATCTTAGCAGCTTTACATTTTTTTTTTAATTCAAACCACAAGCTTAGGTGTTTTACTAAAACACAAGCCTTTGGAGTGGCTAGAAAAAGAACCCCAGCAAGATGGCAAGATGAAGTCAACAGATTTGCCGAAGCATGATGGATGAGGACATACAGTAAGTGGATCAAGGTGTGGATTGATAGAGTCTGATGATTTATTTAAAAGTCATGTCAAATTGAAGATAGACTTGGGTTGCACTTACCAATTGCTCCATTCAGGTTTTGAAAAATCTGGCACTTATGATCCAGCGTAATGTTCAGACGTTCCTAAAGATTGTCAAGGAACATATCATTTCAATTCTTCAGTTGTAGGTTTTGCTGCAAACACACCCACTGTAACCTACTCTCTGCGATTCTTTTTTCCATAGATATTTTATGATGTGTTAACTTTAAAGAGCAAGCAAATGCAACATTCACTGTCAAGTTCACGTCACTTCTACTCACCCTCTGGAGAGGATCCAGATATATTTTTGTGTAAAAAAGTTGATCGTCATCGTTATCGTGAAGGTTCCACTGTTCTACGATCCGGTAAACATATGGTGCATATCCAATGATTCCTGTGAATTTCACCAGTTTTAGGTTAATGTGAGAGGAAATTGTGAGCAAGAAAAAAGAACGTTGTTTTCCGAACCCAAGCTCTTTAAAAGTAATTCTTAAGGACTTGTTTGGGGCATTTGTTCTGGCAAATATTCTGGCAAATATCAGAAATTTGTAAAGCTTCATTTTAAACCTGAAAACAATTAAAATGTTGTCCAACATTACTTTAAATCTTTTTTCTTTGTCCAGAAGACTAATAGGAGTGTGGCAAAGGATACATTTTAAGCTTTGAACTTTTGGAACACATTTCTAAACTATCTGCACATTATCATGATTTACATTAAAGATCTATAACGTTTACTAGTTGATTTAATTAAAAATTGTATGAACTCATAAGAAATATAAATATTGTATTTTAAATTGGATGTGCACTTAATATAATTAATTATAGTTATATATCAATTCCAAATACAAAATGCATACATAAGTAGCTACATAATGCTTCTTGCAATAGTTCAAATACAGTAAACTAATTCTGCAGAAATGTTAAGTGTGAAATTAAAACATTTAGTGTAAGCCTGCAAGGAGAGGGAAACTTAATTTCAAACTTTAGTTTCCAAAGTTAAAAGGGAAAGAAAAAAGAAAGTGAATTGTTCAAAATGTGCAGTATTGTGCATACACTGTAACACTAAAGAGATTCCACAGCCATAATTTAGAACAAACTGCAACCAATTGTTATTAAACCATTTATTATCATTCCTTAATTTTATAAAATTGTCTCAGATAGGTATTTAAAGTTTTGCCTTTGTATAACATAGGAATATTTGTCTCGGGATACATATATTACTAATATATCAATGCATGTGCATATGCAAGTTATGAACTTTAATAGAAGTATGCAGCTAATCAATTTCAACAAGCCATTAGTGGTTAATGTGCCACCAGTTGTGAGTAATTGATTGGGCTGGTTTGACTCGAGCAGGTGGGTGTGGGCAGGTCAGAGACCTCTTAAAGGACTCGGAATGAACCGTGGAGAAAGTCTGTAAATCTGAATGCTAAACTGCCCAAGCCTTCTTGGGCTGGATGCCATTTTATGAATTTTTCTAAGAAAATTCTCCAATTCTCCAATTGGCACCTGCTCTCACTCAGTTTTGAAAGGGGGGGGTTTCCCTTAAAACCATGATTTTCTTGCTGTCTAGACAGCAGCAGTCTCCCTGCCACAAGGAAGAAGTAACACAAACATTGTCACCCTTTAGAGTACGAGAATATTTTTATCCTTAATGCTGCATAACAATAATCACAATATACCGCTGACCTTGAACTCTGACCCCAAGCTTCTCTCCCTGTCTGTGTGTCCCATGGAGAGCAAGTTGGGGTCTGCGAAAAGACAAACTCCAAATACAAGAAATTGTATATGGCCAATAAAGTGATCTTATGCAAGAGGAAAACTGGTAACCCTTTTTGTCTGTCTGGTGAACTCTGCCTTTTTTTAAGTATAATATAGAAAGTACCAGAAAATTGAATGGTTTGGTTTTGTCACTGGTCGTAGTCCAATTTTAGGTATCCTTATTAGGAGGCCCTTCAGACATTGCTAACATGAAAAGAAAAGCAGATATTCCATAAATAAATAAGAATGGGGGGAATGATTCCAAAAGCTTATTTTATTCCAAAAATAAACTAAAATTACAAAGCAGATGCAAAATAGTTTCAAAAGCCTTCACAATTAGAGACAACCTTCACCACAGGTATTACATGGGTGATGACAAATGCACCTTCAAGTGGTTTATTTCATGGCAGGAAAAGCCTTATTTGAAACATGAGGGATTGAATAAAGTAGGTTTAATAACCATATGCAACCAACCTTTTCTGAAATTAAGATTTTTGTGTTAAAAATAGATAGCACTTGCAATCACTTATATTTGACAGTCTCTATACAGCTTTTCCATCTGCTAGAGAACAAACATTTCATGATTAAAAATACTTCCACATTTTCCTATTTAATTGAATGTAAATTCTGTGCTCTAATAAAAAAAAAGTCACTGCACTGCTTGAATAAGGAGACTATTGCCAGACAAGCCACACTAGTACAAAATTCATCTATTCTTTAACAGGACTCCAGAATTAATGTTCAACATACAACATCCTGAGTTGATCTCATCTGGTGCAAACAAAGAAGCAAGCACTTCTGTTTGACAAAGAACATCTGTTTCATTTGAAAAACACTTTTGCGGTTATGTGATAATATCCATCACCGACAATAAATCAAACCTGGCAGGGTTTCAAGGCAATATTGAAATGAAATTGAAGATATCAGCAGGAACCCTCACAAAATTGAAATTGTGTTTTTGAACTTTAAATTTAGTTTAATTTGGTTTTATAAAGGAAATCATGTGCAAACAAACTACAAATGCCAAAATGGCATTACATACTACAACATACTGTATAACAGGAAACGACATACTGTACCATCACTCAGAAGAAGAAACTGAAGTGATGCACTCGGCTCAAATTATAATATCTAATATAATAATTTCTTATACTTATATAGCACTTTTCTGGACACTCCACTCAAAATGCTTTACAGGCAATGGGGAAAATAGTGACTTAAATGTCCAGATTGTTATACTGTACGTATATAAAAAATGTAACTTAATACAACGATTGTTAAAGTAAATTTTTATTTTAAGGCAAACCTCATTCATTTTTAAGTCTCCTGATAACGTGTATGCTTTAGGTTTTTTTCCATGCAGTCTGGGGAAAAAAACAGCAAGCTTGACCTATTGCTTATCCTCTGAGAGGTTAGGGTAAGTCTGCCAGCTTACCCACAAAATATTACTTTTCTTACAGAAATGTAGCTGCAGCGAAAAATAATACTTTCAATTTTACATTTTCATGCAAAACATCAAAAAAGCTAAATCAAATTAACATGTCATGTTGATGACAACAATTTGTCCTGAAGATGACAGCAGGCAGACCTATCAGCACAGGGATCGAACAAATAAGGCAAACTGACCACTCCACTGAAAGCTGTAATTTCGGCGTTCAAAATAGCAGCAGCATAACAAGCATGTGATCTGAAACACCATGAGCCACAAAATGATGAATGTAGCAGCTTAGGGCAACTCTCCTTGTTGTAGCCTTTCATGGGATGGGAAAAATGGCTGAGGTGAACTGACAGACTGCAATGAATGAACCATTCACCTAATCTTAAATCATGAATAGGCCAGTATTTAGTCTGTCCAACAGGAAATACCACAGAATGCCCATTGAGTCCTTTCTATTTTAAGTATATAAAAATTCTACTGAAAGTGCTGAAAGGATTTTCTGAAAGACTTCAAGGAAAAATAAGTTCCAGGGCTATTATACTACAGTCATAGATGATTTGTTTAAATTATCTTTGTAACTTCCTGATCTGGGATTGGGAACAATATCCTTCTGTTAAATCTCAGCGTGCCAACGTTTGTGACTAGAAAATAATATGCAAAGGTGACACAGGGGAGCCCACAGCATAAACAAAATTGTTAACATTTGCATTATCTAAAAGGTGACCAGTTTTAGCTGGCCTTGTGTTCAGTCAAATTCGTTTATAAGGTTTTTTCCATGCAAATGTGTTCTGTTAGACAAAACTGACCCAAGGACCTAATGTATCTAAACAGCCGGAAAGGGAAAGGGAATGATTTAACATTTCTCAGCAGAATCAAATGCTCATGAGAAGAAATCCAAAAGGCCTTCAGCTCCAATGATCCTATGAGATAAAAGTTAAAGAAATTTACCCAAATTCCTGAACTTGTCTGATCTTTTAAAATTGATCTAAATCAACTGCACCCACCTCCTGAGTTAAGGAATCGCTTTCCACTTCGGACAGATGGATACTTGTCTGCTAGTCTCTTATCTGGCCAGATCAGCCCCTCAGCAGCAAACAATACTTTGTGATTTGCTTGTTGAAATTTTTTTAAGAGCTCCTCAGGGCCACCAGCAAAGATAACATCATAGCTGAAATGTAAAAGAAGATAAAAGCAAGAAATACTGGTTACAATTAGATCAAGAAAGGCAATCATTTAGGAAAACAATGCTCATTTACAGTTCATTGAATTGTTAGGTAAAATTGCAGATAAACCAGTTAATAGGTACTGTGTCCACGTGTGAAGAACTCCTATCAGTCTGAAATGAACAGTGTCTGTTGGCAACACAAGTGGAATCCACCTTAGTTTTATCTGTCAAATAGAGCCTTAATCAAATTACGTGTCCTGTGATATAAAGTGCCTCTTAAAAGTATCCAAGCCCTTGCACAGTTTTCATATTTTGTTGATTTTTAGCTTTCAGTAATGACACTTTGAAATTGCAATGCAGTTAACATTTGTTATCTACACCATCTACTCGACACATTCAAAGCACAAAAATAAAAAGAATGAGATGATCAACATGAAAAAAACTTAAGTCATGACTGCATAAGTATTTAATTGCCACACAATTAGTTTCATGTCCTCTGTGTGCAATAATAGTGGTTATAGTGGTTTCAGAGGTAAAATCACCTGTTTCTATGAGGTTCCTTAGTTTGGTAATTAATTTCTAGCAAAGAATCAGCCATGAAGAACGTGGAACTTTCAAAGCAAGTCAAGGATAAAGTCATTGAAGGCCACAGATTAGGAGAATGGTACTAGAGTATTGATGTCTCAGAATATCTGTGTGAGCAAAATGTAGTCAATCATCAAGAAACAGAAGGTAAATTTTACCAGCAGAAAATGACTGCATGAGGACCTTCTTCCAAACTAAGCAACATGGAGAGATTTGGTGAGGGAAAAACATTCAAAAGAGTTCAGTCAACAATATCCTGATCACTCCACAAAGCTGGCCCTTGTGGGAGAATGCAAAGACTTGCATGGAGTTTGGAACAAAGCACCTAAATGTTATCTTGCAAAAATACGGCAACATTTTTTTGGCACCAGATACCAAATTAGATATTTATGGTCTAAAGGCCAAACCTTACATTTGATGCAAACCCAACAAAGCAGTCAACACCATCCCTAAAGAGAAGCACTGAGGTGGTAGCATCATAATATGGGGATATGTCTCCACATAGGGACTGAAAAGCTTGTTAAGACTAGAAAGAAAAAAATGGATAGAGCAAAGTACAGGTAAATACTGAAAAAAACCTGTTTCATAGTCTTCTAAAGTCTTCACAAGCAATCCCTAAGCAATTTGAGAGAGTGTGATCCATTTGCCAAGATCAACAGACAAACATTGCCACAAGCCAGTGTTCAAAATCCAAAACGACTCATGACTGAAATTGCTGCCAAAGGTGCTTCAACCAAATACCTGAGTTTGGAGGTCTGAATATTTATGCAATCAATACATTTTAGTTTTCATCATCAGTTTTTGCAGAGATTTACTGTGACTTCAGTTTCAGCATTTTGGTTTTCATTAAAATATTAAGTTTATAAAAATGAGTATGCATCATTTTATTTCACAAAATGGGATACTATAGGAAGGGTTTATATACTTTGCAAGGCACTGTATGTAATTTCATTTTTTTGGTCTTATACATACATATCCCTTACAATAAGGGTGTATATATTTTGGGTTTTCTGTGGCTTAGTTTCTCCATAAGCATTCTGGACTGATTCCAGCTCCAGCAGTGAATCCAAACCATTATTGCATATTCTATTAATATCATGGCGAGTCTCACAATATGAAACCTATCTGTGGAAATCATCCGAGGGAATTACTTCCAGGTGAAGCGTCTGCGATAGATACACATATGTTTTTAACATCAGTAAAACATTTGGCGGAAGTGCTCAATATTGTTTTACAAGTATCAAATGGTGTTGGATGGATCATAGAGCAGCATTTCCCAAGACATACACTTTCTACTGCACCATAAGATACAATTTGTCCATATAACATCATCCGTTAAAATGAACAGCATTCAATTAAAAAACAAAATGTTTCTGACGATACCCCAAATCTTCTATAGATAACTCAGTGGTTTCTAAGCTTAATTATGAAACATTCCAATTTTGAACATCAACAAAATCTACAGTGATAAGGCAAGTGATATGTTTTCAGGAGAACTGTACTGAGCCTGTGTAGTATATTTGATATATTTACATATTATTTATTATTTATCAAAAGGCAATAATTGTATTGCAGGGCTTTACAAAACCCCGAAGAAATGGACCAACCTTTTTTTGGATGAAGCTAATATTTTCCATATCCAATGTAAGTCCTAAATAAACTCACTGGTGATGGTTTAAAGCTAACTAAAAACACTTAAACACTGGGTGTAGTTCAGTTCCAACACTATGCCAATTAACAATCATTTCTATTTCACCATACACATTTAGTAGGGGAAGGTGTTTTATCTGATGCATTAAAACTGGACACCCAATAATTTAGTAAATGGTTAAATTAAGTAACCATTTATTACGTTTGATTACCTAAAACAACCTCAACACTAACATGGTATCTGGCAATTTTTCAAAGGGAAGATGGCTATCAGTTTAGTGCAGCAGAAAAACCTTTTAATTTATATGATTAAAGTTCAATGGCTTTAAAATGTAGTTATGGGTTCTAGAATTATTATAATTATATGGCATTCAAGTATAATCAAGAAAGTATAGTCATTAACCACACTATAAGTGTTATTAAAGAAATTGTTCAAATTTTTTTCAGACTATACGACTTTTAGAAAAGTGTACTGTTGCGTGGCAAACTCAAGAAATACATGTAGCAAAGCACAGTTAGATCAGGGATACAAGCATAATAAGCATATTTATAGATACACTAAAATGATCAATGTAAAATGGATAAACCAAAAAAAATGACGAGCAATGGAAAAGCAAAATAAAGGCTTTGTTTGAGTGTGGGAGAAGCCATGCGAAAATAAGGTAAAGCCATAAGAAAACTGAAACAGGGAGTCATGGATATCGTACCTGTCAATAGCCATTACAACAAGGTCTTCTTGCTCAGCAAATTCTTGCATTGCCTCCTTCAGCAGTCGCACTTTCTGCCCTCCCCCAATCGATTTTCCCACATCGCCGCCTTTCCATTCCTCTCCTCTACCGAGAACCTGCAAAGACATAATTGACCATTAAAAATGTTTACAATTCTGTGCCATAAGATGGAGAGTAATTACAATAAAGGTTTTACTTTTTGGCCCTTCAATCCTGCTGTTGTTCTTTTCAGGGTAAAGTCTCCCCTGCTGTTTGGTTGTTCTCTCAGTTTAAATGCACACCACATTTGTCATACCTTAACAGTGTAGTTCAGATACTTCGCCGTCTGCATAAAACGTAGAAAGCCATCTGTCTCCTGAGTTGCAACGGTAAGCACAAGCAGTTTATCTGAAACAGAATAAATCAGGTATTTTACAGTTTCTACACAAAACCAACTGCGTACTGTATGCCTTGTTTTCTACTAGAGTTTTAAGCTACATTTTTTTTAAAATGAGAATTTGACCTCAGTTCAGGCAGTCCTCTTAAACCACTTGAAAGACAAAAACAAAACTTGTGTTTCAGTTGCGAACAATAAAGCCACTAAAATGTATTGTGCACATATTGTAGATTGTAGATCTGCTTTTATTTCAAATGAATACATAATCTAGCACTCTGACTTTGAGTCTGGACTTCAGTGGCTGGTGCGTAACCAAAGAAAACTATTGCTACATGTTTTGTTGTCATTTTTCTTTGTCAAATCCAAACCCACAATGCTCTAAAATAACCATCTAATTACTCTGAAAGCACACATCACCCAGTTACTGAAATGACCATTGCATTTCCATCCTTTGCATTGCCACACACATATCTGTCTGCAGAATCTATGAGAAGCCTGACCCTCAGCTGTAACCCTCAAACTCAAGGATTCCGTGTCCCTCGGTATTTACTGAATAATTAACAACTGATAAATCAGCAGTCATTACTGCTGCATGCCTTTAAAGACGCCTAAAGATGAGGTAGGGGATGCTGCTGTTATAGTAATAAGAATACAATACATAATTGACCCTGGTGCATTTTCTAGGTTTGTCAAAACTAATTTGCATTGTAAGACACACTACTTAAATGGTCCTTTTCTAGTCTGATTCTTCTGCTTTTTTACAATAACTGAATCCATCAGAGTAATTAGTCTACATTACACAGGTCATGAGGAAATCGGTTACAGCTCAGAAAAAATCAGTAGCAGATGTGTGGATATCCACTTCTTGTATAGGAAAACCCATGAGTGGTACAGTACATCCATCATTAGAAACAGTATGTTAACAATAAGCCCAGACATCACGGTCTCTCATTTCTTCTCTTTTAGCAAAAATATTTTTCAAAACCTACTATATTTGCATTTTTAACCTTACGGTATTATTGTCTTGGTGGTGTTGTTAGTGGTATTGTCTTCCTATTCCCATTAATAATTAAAAAATGAAATACACATATATGTGTACTGAAGTAGTACAAATAGGTAGCTGCATCGGCATGCGCAGGCTGCAAAGGAACAAATAAAGGTTTATTCCATGCTGAAAAGAGAAGAAAAGAAATTCAACGTTTCGGCTGTGGAGTCTTCTTCGGGTGTTGACAACTGAAGAAGGCCCCACAGCTCAAACGTTGTTTCTTTTCTTCTCTTTTCAGCATGGAATAAACCTTTACCTGTTCTTCTGTGTACTTATGTTGTACTTTATTGTACTGTGAAATGTGAACTCAGTTTTGTCTTTTTATAGTTATTATTTAAATACATCTCATAATATCTCTATATAACAAAGACATGAAACACTGTGAAATACGAAATCAAGGTATTACATGCATAAATTAGACACATGACTTCCTCTCCTAATCAGAATGAACAAACAGTGGGCAGACAGACTGTTACACTGTAGTCTGTTTATGCAAACAACTTTCCTGTTACAAGTATTTTTTATTTCCTGTCTGGAAACCTGAAGTTATAATCTCTTTTTCTACCAGGATTCATGAAGCAGGACACATGACTAGCTTTCTGGATTTCTTTTAGCTTTCTCTATTGGCAGTTCATCTTAGAAGAGGAGTAACACATACAGGAATGCAGGGAATGAACTCTCAACAGCTCCCATGTTAAAAGGGGCCCTCCAGCAGGATATCTTATGTTTGGCTTGTACTGTAACTCACTTGTTATCGGCCAGTATTGAATACATGGAGTTTTCTGTCAGGTACTTCAGTTTTCTCATGATTCGTCAAATCCCAAAAGTTTGCAGTTACGAATATCAACTTGAAGAGGAACAGATGGCAAAGTCGTTTACCATGATCGTAGCTACACTGCAGCTGTCTTAGCCGTCTGGGTAAAGATTAGTCTAGGAAAAGTTTTTTTTTCCCCATAGTGGCTTAGTTGATGCAGAGGTCATGTTCATATTGTTTATTCAGGCATATCATATTCGATTGTAACTTCCTCCTTGTTCAGGGAACAGCAGCATGAAATCAAACTTTCTTCATGATAGTTGAGACATACCGACACTGACGTAAATGGAATAAGTGAGGGACGCTATTTATCCAAAGGATGCCTACTTGGTGAGGACAGAGACTATAAAAGGAACCTGCACCTTTTGCAAAATTCACACTTCCATGTTAAAAATAAATGGTCTTACTGCTTCTCCCTTGCACTTCAATGCAAACTACAGTACTAATGTACATCCGTTACAGATAACGGACCCCTGTGTCAGCCCTCATAAAGAAGCTCTATACCTCTGACCTATACTTCTGTTTCTCCTCCACAACAGACTTCTACTATTCATTTCAAGCTTGGAAGAGGATAGAACTCAGAGGGTTCAAAAGGAACAAGGCACTGTTGGGACTCAAGACAGCCGCCATACTGAGAGGAACTGGTGTAAGATTTAAAGGTCTGGGCAGAAATCATAAATCCAATTATGGGCAGAAATCAATAATCAAATTATGATCACCAGGTTACCTGGTATCCAAGTAAATAAATGGTTTGTGTACATACTGTATTTGCTTGAAAATACATGATAAGAACAAGACACGGGTATGTACCCATAGTATTTAATCACAGCTAGAAGCCACTTTCCAAACCATCATGTATTTATTCACCTTTGTTCCAAAATACAAAAATATTATTAAAAATACGAAATAATAAAAATAATTAATTTTAACAAAACAGACTTATTGCTACAATAATTAAAAACAAATCATATTTTAAACAGGGTGGATTTATTCCTGCTCGTGTATTAGAATATTGGTGAATAGCTACTTCCTGGCTGCCCTATATTGGGCTTCATGGCACATGGTTCTCTAATGCAGGCAGTCACTTTTGTATAGTGTGTCTATTAGCTACTGTACACACACACCCACATAAATGGGTAGTGAAAATGAACATCATTCATCTCACTTGACCTGAACATGGACTGATGTCAAACAACTGATCCGTTTAAGAAAATGCCTGAGAAAAACAAAAACTCAGAAAGTTTCACTGAAAATGCACTCCCTGTTGGGGTGTACATTAAACTTTCCTGCCATGTGTCCAAACCCCAACATTTCCATAATTTCTAATGGGTGATAAAAAGTAATACATCATTGGGTGTTCAATACATTTATAAAAAAAGAACATACTGTACAGTTGCTGTGTTATCAAAACCTTTAAAGCACCGTATCTTCTACATTACACTGTAAATGGTATGATGATATAATCCATCAGGCAGAAGGAATCCTTGTGTGATTTTAATCTGAACATTCCAGCATTATTATGCAATGGTTTGGTTGAGTACTGTATAAAAAAATCCCAGAGGCTAAAACAGTAAGTAACCAGAGACATATGTCACTGATTATGTTCTTGTGTGTACTGTATGTGCATGATTTAACTTTCCATTAGGTTTGAAAGGCAAGGTAAAAAATCCACAAACAAGGAACACCGGGAAAACTGTAATTGAATATACATGTGGATATGATCTGGGATACCATATATACCCAGCTATAAAATTATAATACTTTTTTTCCCTGGGTCATAAGAGCTTAATTCACAACTTCAGCTAAATTCCTCTGAGCAATCCTGGTTTTCTAGCCTGCTGAGTAAACAAAACTAAGCCTGAGATGAGCCACAGCTGTGAATGCTTAGCCACTGGCAGAGCACTCTGTTCTACTGCATCTCAGCAGTGAAACAGGGTTTCCATCAATTTAAACAAGAGGCTTAAAAGTTCCATGTGGCCAAGTGATTGTGACTTCAGTGCCACAGCCAACCACAAGCACTCACAAACGTATGCAAGCTTTCATATCATTTTCCCCCCATGCATTTAAAACTGAGGCACACTTTTAAGAGAAGAAGTGGTCTAAAGGGGGTTGTACTGCACATTGTAACAACAGAGAAGCTGTATAATAACAAAATAAACAATGTCAAATCCAAAATTACTGATGACAGAACAATCCCAGGCATCCTGTTACCTAACCATCTCATGCCTGTTACTAAACACAAAGCAGCCCATTCCTTAAAGTACGAAAACATTTTTTTCTCATGCAGACATTCTTGTAAAACTACAGTATTTACAGATCTCACTAAATTGAGAAAAGTTAGTAGAACTCTTTTCTATTTTTCTTTTTTATTCTTTTAAAAGATGTTTTGGGTAGCAGACTATAATTGCACTACTTCCATTATCTTTTTTCCATTATACACACACTGTTATAAATCCACTACTTTAAAACTGTATTAGCATATTGTCAAAAATTTACTTACAATTCATTGACTCATGTGAAGCCCTAAAGGGGATTCACACTAAATTCTAAAATGCTTATGGCATATGTTGGACACATTTCTTGTATTATCTCTTGAACAGTGAATTAAATTCTGCAAAAATATATATTAAAATTCCCTAATTCCAGCCTTGGAAAAGTCCTTTATATTAAAATATAAACTATTTAGCAGTATTTTCTTCTGAAAACAGAAAAGCTCCCATCTAATTCACTTCGGTGCTAACCGAAGTTCTTTCATCTATTATCCCATTTTTTCTTTATCTTCATTCAAACACTGGGTTACTACTATAGCAGATTAAATCCACTGTTAACTTTTTAGCACACACTAAAATGAATTAATAGATAAACACTGGGCGTTAAGTAACACATTGTCTTACTTAAAACAGAGTTTATAACTGAAAGCAGAATGACAGGCTTCTTATTTCAGCACTGAAGGCAGTAAAACACGTATTGAAAACATATGTACAATTAGTTTAAGTGGTTGTGAATGACAGCCCCTGGTTGCATCATCATCTGTTTAGCTTCTATTTGGTGCATTTTACTGTCAAATACAACAATCTGTTGTTGACAAGCTTGATCATATTTGATCATTTTTGTAAATACAGCTTTCTTTCAGAGTAAGTGTATATTTAAAA